GTAATGTACATAACTTCACTCCACTCAGAAGGAATCAGGTACACTGGGTGGGCTCTTTCTTTTGCTCAGCTCACTTTGACCTCGGATTAACCCTTTGATTTAATATTTGTAGTGGTATGGGTCAATGGGCTGGGTCTCAAGACAAGCTCCTTTGAAAAGGTCAACAAATGTATCTCAGTTGTGATTCCTGCAGCCACTTCATCTAGCTATCAATGTCCTTTCAAACCAATCTCTGAATCATTTGGTTGTCCTGGGGCTTTGCTTAGGTGAGTGGTTTGTACTGGTGGCTAGATCAGTAGTTTCACAGGCTGCTCTTGGCACATATTGGAACTGCTGATAACAAAAAGATTCCAAAATAGAAGGGAAACGATGCACCTTGATGCTCTCTTGAAACCTTGTGCGCTTAAACTCAAAATAAATGAACTGTATTCCTTCTATTCAATAAACACAGACAAGATACAAGCTTCTTCGATACAGGCATGTGAAATGTGTAAGCCTCATAAGAAGAGCCTCTGCTTCAAGGATGGACTCCTATCAGTTTAATCACAATGTTTCTCATATGGGTTTGAGTTTCCCTTCCTGATTTCCTCCTACTAAGTATCCAAAGAGAGCAAGCAGTACCCATTGATGCCAGGGCTTAGAAAGATTCCTTTGAAAGTACAGGGTAAGGATTCAGAACCTCACGGAAATTGGATTATGACTTGCCTTGGTCCTAATCTTCCTATGCTATCTGGAGAGCCTTAGATTCCCCACACTAGCTATAACCAAAACTGTAACGTGCAAGACCTGAGATGTACAAAATTCCCTTTGTTTTCTATTTATATGCTTTATGATACACTAACCAAGTCTGGTGCAAAACAAGGGCTAAGGTAAGAAAATGAGGCATGAATAAGGAATAGCACATTCTCAACAAAGGAGCTGGTGATTGGTAGGTCTTGCACCCATAATTCATCTCTAGGGTTTCCCCAATCTTTCTTTTTCAGCAACTTTTTAGCTGTTGCTATAATTGGAAAAGGGGGAGTCAGCAGCATTTACACATCCCCGGCAAAATACCTAGCAATTTACCAACCAATCCTGATTCTGCTCACTCTGCTACAACATAGGAATAATCAATGTACATTTTCTGGCACTGTTGAAAGCCATCTGAAAAGTTTTAGAAAAGGTGGATAAATAATTTTTTTTAAAAAGGCAAACAATCCCATACTTTTAAAACACAAGTGCCACAAATAACTTTCCTATGAGGACATTTTCCAGGGGTCCTGGCAGTTGGTATGCTAGTTGCTGCCAATTGTGACTCAAACACACCAAACAAGGTGGACTGGCTGATTGAGTGTGTGTGAGAGAGACATTATGTAACCCAATCAAGCTGCCTTTATATTTGTCTTGTAGCTCATAGCTTGGCAAATTACTTTTCAAGCTAAAATGGATTTGCCCTTTTCAGTCATATAATTCAATGGGGGGGGGGGACTTAAAAAACAAACAAACATCCAGCTCTTTCTAGGACTGCATCCCATTTTCTTGTTCCCTCCTCCCCTCAAAATTATCTGTGAATTTTTGAAGCACTCCTCAAATTCTTTGTGGAACTTATTTAATAGAAAGAAGGTTTGTAAAACGTGCAATAAGCAAATTCCATTTAATTCCTTGCTAACTGTCCTTTTCATCAAGTCCTTTGGTTGAATTTGGCTAGCTAATAATTCTGCTCTTTAATCTGCAGTGTTTTTCAAGCATATCACATTTTTAGGTTTTTTAAAACTTTTTTTCAGCTATACAGTGGAAAGATAGGTTATAATTTCGCTTGTAAATTCTTAAAAACTGCCTTATCTTTAGAAGCTGTAAAAATGGATTAATAAAACTTGCTAACTTTCATCGTTGTGAAATTTTTGTATTAGGTCTGCATGTTTCAAATGTGACATGGAAGATCAGTCATTACATTCCAATAGTCTGATGAGCCAATCAAATGTAAGATTAATCTGCAGCTAGGATAGTTATTGATAGACAACACTATGAAGGAGCTAAAATAATAAGAACGGCTCCCTTCATAGCATGAAGGAGCAACCGACAAGCCATATTTCTTTCCTCCAAGCTTTGCTATGACTTGATGTGGCAAAGAGTTTCAGAATATGGGGGAAATCTCAAATTAATTGATAAAGTTAAGTGTAGGAAAAAATGAATCATTTGAAAATAATCCAGATGGATTTCCTTTTTTGTTTGTTTGTTGGTGTTTTGTTTTGGCCAGACTTTGTCCATTTTCTCCTTCACAATTCCACTTTTTTCCTGTCAATCTTGAAATGCACCCCTCAAGGTTATTTGTGATCCTTGGTTCATGAAAAGAGTTCAGTCTAGCTATGACCTTAGCAAATTTTCTCAATACAGCAAACTAATTTTTAAATCAAATTCCAGGCAGAACTGACCTCAGCAATACTCTAACCGTCAGGGTACCACCATGTCTCTTTTACAGTGTCCTCAGAGAGCTTGTAAGGAAAGATGTGCTGGTGATTCATATAGATCATGTTAGTTGCTGAAAGGACAAGGTCTTCTTGGTCTTGTTGAAAGCTGCTGTAAGACTAAGACAATTGCTACAGAAAATCACCTCTGCTGGAAAAGATGATATGAAATCTTCACAACATTAAAATGACTGAGTGGATCTTTCACCCACTGCTTACAAGTGAAAGCCCAGAAATTCTTTTTCTCAAATATTAGGTTAATCCATGTAGTCAATACTCTCAGGGCAGTGGTGGGATTCAAATATGCGAACAACCGGTTCTCTGTTTGGATGCCGCTTCCGGAAGTCCATTCTGGGCCTGGGCAACAAAAAATTAGCTACCTGTTCTGCCAAACTGGCGCGAACTGGCTGAATCCCACCACTGTCTCAGGGTTTACGTAAAGGAAGATTGAAGCAAACTATCTATATAGCTGGCTTTTCATGTCAGATAATGCAGTGCTCTTATGCTTCTGGGCAACAATGCTATTTTGTGTAAATCGCAGACATTGTATTATCCATATTGTACAGAGCCAGAGATGTTTGGAGACAGCTACACTTGAGGGCAGAAAATAGTACAAATTCCAGAACATTCAGAGAATTGTTGCCACCTCCCCGTGGCTTTCCTTACATGCATTACAGTTAATGATAAGTAATCCAAAACTCACATCTGTCACTCGAAGGCAGAGAGCCAATTATGGTAGCCACCACCATTCCCCCCTCTTAGCCCAGTTTCTGTTAAGCAAAGCACAGTGTTTCGTATGGCTCCAGTCTGTGGTCTACAAACATCACATGCCAGCAAAAACAGTCCTTTGCTACTTCTTGCTGGTGCTGTAAACAAAGTCATATTACTAAAAAAAAAAGGACAAGTATCACTATTTACATGGTTGTTTCTTTGAAAAACACTGTGAGAACCTGAAGAAAAACTGGATGAAGAATCTCTGTCCAGAGAAAGCCACATATCTCAGGAACCTTTAATCAATGTACCTGTTTGTATCGTGAAGCTCTGTGGAATCCCCTTTGACGCAAGATGTCCAGGTGCTACTGTGCAAACCTGGCAATACTCCCGTAATATGAGGATACAAGAACATAATGGCACAAAGCAACATTTTAGAGATTCACACAGACCTTCAAGCTCTTTTGGGGGCAGAGCCCAGGGCCAGGTAGGAACGTTAGGGGTTAGTCTCTAGGAATATGTTCATTAGAATATCTCTTCCAACTGTACAAAATCCAACAAATGCTGGATCTATAAACATTTATTTGAAAGACTTTACAGACACCCAGTGTCTAATTTACCACTGTATAATGGCTGTATAATATGCCAAATTGGTACTTGAGATGCTTGAGCATCTCACTTGATGGATGGGATTAAGACAAAAAAAACTGGCAGTTCAAAGATATCATTTGGCTATGAGAAGGCTTTAGGATGATTATTCTTTTTAAGAAAATGTGTAAAACAAGGAACTCCCAAGAACAGTTGAATAAAAGTTGTAGTCTGGCAAGAAACCAAGCCAAAATGGAGTTGTCATTATATGTTCATAGAATGCTAGTTGAGCTAAAGCTACTCCATACATCTTACTGGATCTCTCTCAGAAGCAACTATATCCTGGACATAAAAAGGATCTGCCCAGTGAAAATAGGTGATTTGACTTGTTAATAGAGAGAATAATTTATATATACTGTAGATACAGTAGAATGTTGCAAATTTAGAGTATAAATGAAAAGGGGATGGTGGCAAACACTCTTAACATAATTGTGCTTGTAATCAAACCCTTTTCACACCTTCTTGCATCTAGGACTGTTTATCTCTAGGCACTGGAGTAGTTTCTGCTCTTTGTTTATTTATTGTATCTACTGCAATCACGATACTCCTGGGTTTATGTACTGTATACTTGGTAATGATATGTAAAATTAAGTGGTTTCTTAACCACTTCTCTTGAATTTTGTTAAGCTAGTTAATATTGTTTGCCGCTATAATTTCTCTCCAAATCAGGAAGAATTATGCTCACATGGAAATGCACTATCTTCTAACAGGTGGACTACATACAGTTAGAACAGAACTCAGCAAAGACACCTGTTGGACACTCTTGGTAAGATGCAGCACCTAGCAAGCACTGTAATATAATAGATTTTCACTCTGCCAGAGAGAAACCTGAACTAATACCATGTTCTGCTAATTTTGCGAGACTGTTTGTCATAATGGTTGTAAAAGTAATAGCCTGACTTAGTAAACATGAAAGAATTGGTGTTAGTGAGCCTGTGAAAGAAGCCATCACTAGCATGACTTTCTTTGACAGAAACTGAGCATGTCACAAAACTTCATGTATATAATCTCTCCTTATTCAGGTTTTCTTCTTCCCGTTTTTTGTCAATAACATGAAAATGAATGTTCAAAACAATACCGACAGGACTGTTGGAAGAGTCTGTCTTAGAGGTTATCTTGGCCATAAGGCCGCTGCAGTATACGGCACTGAACCATCTGGTCCACATGAATTATCTACAAGGAACACAGTGTCTCTGATCAAACAGTCACCTCTGTCTTGCTGGCTGTGCGGTAATGGTGATGGTATCCTGGGATATAGTGCAGCTGCTCCACTGTGTTGTGTCGCCGGGAGGCAAATGCTTGGCGTTTGGCTGAGGTTTGGTTCATACTCAAGGTGTTGTACAAGTTATTTGAGGCACTGGGATGGGAGTGCATCTTAGTCATCCGGTAGCGATCCAAGACAGGTGTTGAAACAAATACATCGGAGTGGGACAAAGCTCGTGACATGGACTGCTCTCTAAAGCCTGAGTGTTCTGGAGAAAGCAGAGGGTCTTGGGAATGAAGACGTTCGGTAGACAACAGCTGTTCATCTGAGAGGATCTGCTCATAAGACATACTGAAGTCCTCAGGCATGATTCTCTCTGGGGACAACACTCGGTCTTGGGACATGGCCCGCATTACACGGCGTGGCCGCTCCCGTTGGCTGACTTGTTTCTGGGATAACTGGATGACATTGAGAGGGAGGGTCCCCCTTGCTGCTAAGTCTGGAAGGTGCCTCTTTCGAGAGTAATATTCCTCTGCTTCCTTGTCAGCTAGATGGAGAAGAGAAATTGAAAGATTAAATACAGAGCTGGAAAAAGAGGTGAAAGTAGAAAAAAAGGGGGTACCATGACTTTTTTTCAGAATAATCAATATATGAAATAGGTGTAAAGGCAATAAGCAAAAGCACTGCCACACTGGCAGTGGCTACTTGTAGACTACACCCTTTCATATGCATTGATGTCCAATCAGTATGGACAATGCTGCACTTGGTACTCATGCACCAAAGGGGCCAGATCTTGCTACATTTGCACTCTCAAGATGTGTTGAGCCTGCAACTCTACCTTCTAGAATGGTGAAGTAAAGGGGTGCATTGGATTATGAAGCAAAGGTGTCTCTGAAAAATTATAGCTGAAGCAAAGCATCCTTTTGAAATAGCACTGCTATAATAAAAACATAGATGTCAAGACTACAAAGTAGAAAACAGCAACTCTTCTGGTTAATTGTTTTGTATCTTGTTTTTATTTTACTCTTTTGTTGGGGGAAACCCAGAGTTGGGTAAGGCCAGGTAGCATTCAAATTGAATAGAATGAATGAATGAATGAATGAATGAATGATCAACCTGAAGAAGGTATATATCTTAAAGCCTGAACTTCGACTAAGGGTGCTGGCAGGTATTATCCTTCTTACCTTCTACGCATCAGATTTTTTGCACTCCTTGGATCAAGCCATGAGTAAAAGGCTATATAAAAGACCCAGGGATGACATTTTCAGTGTATGATTGTTGGAACATCCTCCATATTCCCCAGTTGCAAGGCTGATTGTTTAATTTTATACAAGACAGTTGCAAATTTAACAGAAGGATATTTGCATTTGTTATGTCTGGCAAGTCATTTTGACAAGCAAGCAAGCAAGCAAGCATACACCCAAATTCTCTGTCAATATTCTTTGTCTGGAGGAAATGCCTTCAACCAAACCAGATGCCAACCCCAATACTTGTATATCCTTGCTTTTCCTGCAATGTGACTTTTTAAAAAAAGTATGCTTTCTTCATTAAAATTAGTTTCATAAATTTATTTACTAATCACATTTATATGGTTGGCCATTTGATGGAAAGTGACCTTGGGCGGCATACAACAATTTTAGTTTTATGATAGAAAATCTTTCTAAATACAGTTTTTTCCCCGTCTTTTCAATATTGTCTGCTTTGGGAGTTTAATCTTTATCTTTAGAAATCGTTTTTCTATTTTTTTTTTCTTACAGCAAGAGAAACAAAGAATTGGAAAAGAGAGACAGTGTTAGAACTAATTGTATTTAATGTGATTGTTCAAGAAGGAAGAGTTTCTGATCTTCTTTTTGGCTGAGTTTTGATTTTCTCTGTTGTAATGTACCCCACTGTAATAAAACTAGACCATAAAAGTTCTATAGGAAAACAAATTATAGCCTTGGTCTGTTGGATCATCAACAAGGGGAATAACTAAAAGCTTTAACATGCTAGGTAGAAACAATCTACAGTTGGAAAGAATGTCTCAATTTCAATTTGGCAAAAGCGCTGGCAAATTCTTTCCATTATTAAAATTCAGGCAAAGATATTTGCAACCCCTATGGATTGTCCCAATGCCTTCTCTCCTCTGAGGAAATGATTTTAAAATTGTGGATATCAATGAAGGGGCAAGAGTCATAGAAATCGTTACCAGGTCAGATCCATAGTGATTATTTTGTTGGATTTAATTAAATTTGCTAAATTTCTCAAGAAAATTATAAAAGTGGCTCACAAACATTTAAGAAAATAAGAGGAAATGGCTTTCTTGAGGATGGAGACAGTAGATAAACTGTATAACTAACTTGAACATTTCTCTCTTTCTCCACACCCCCTGTATTATTTTTATATCCAAAAGAAGAAAAGGCATCTTCCATCATATAAGCTGGCAAAACTAGCCCAGCAAAACTGCAAAAGTAATTTCTTTTTCTCTGTATCTCTATTTCCCTCTCTGGTTCTTTTCCTGCTTTCTTATCAAGGAGGCAGCCTCTTTCTTTATCCCTCACATAAGCTGTGCCCTGCAATATGTTCAAGAACCTAACCATCTTAGCACCTGTGCATGTTTGTGAATGCCACATCTTAAATCTTATGCCTTTTGTGCTCTAACAGGAAGGCTTGAACATTTCTCCTTCTTTGCTGTACCAAAGAGATTTAATGCTACATCTTTATTTTCTGCTGAACTCTGTGTACAGCCCATTAAAGTGAATCACTTCTTTAAATCTCCTGCTTTTTCTTCTTCTTTTGAACTCTCTCTCTCTTCATCTTCTGTCATTGAATTGAAGATTCTCACAAGTGTCATAAATTAGGAGTCCCTTTGTATTGTTTTGCACTAGCCTCAGGTATTTTTTGCAGCTACAGTTTCCATTGACAATCAACTGGCTATTACTTGATTGCTCTCAAAATCGTGGATCTCAAGTATTGTTTAATAAATTGTATTTTTGTTATTGATAGTAGTCTAATTTTTGGCTGTCTAAAATGTATAAACCCACTTAATAACCTGTAGTGTTAAGATCGACCTGAATTGGTGCAGTGTGATTTAATGAGCATGAAAAAGAGGCCCATTGAGGCAAGCTGGTGTGATAGAAAAGATTTCTCTGTTACAGGAAGAAAGAATGAAACACAGCCACAGCACAAAGATGCTTATAGTGCTACACTCCCTCCACCACCCTTCTTTCTCAAAGCAAAACAACAAAAAAAAAATCATCCACATCAAGTAGTACATTAATGAAATGAAACCTACTTAATCTCTTCAGAGAAGAATATTTACTTGGATTAGTCTTAATTGCAGACTCGTACGATGGAGGGAGGTGCGAGAGGTTCTGGAAAGATCTGGAGAAGGACAGATCATAGGGCTCTGTAGCAGAGGTGAGGATACTGTTCATCCGTGGTTTTTCTGCAACAAAAGGAGAAACAAAGGAAGCTATAAGAATAGCAGTGCCCTTGGATTCGATGATTCAATTGCACCCATTCACTTGTCTAGTTCTGCGTAATGAAGTAATTCAAGCTGATGCTACCCAAGCTGCAAATAAAGCTCTGTTGGGCTTTGTTTCTTCAGTCCATTGCAATGGTTAATGAAGGCATAGTACATTGATTCATACCCCATAGAAGCCTTGCCCTTTGCCAAATGAACGCTAAGAAGACAGGTCTCTTGTTAGGAGGGAACGTGTAAATGAAGTACTGTAGCTATTGAATGTCCATTTTTGCTTGAGAGATGAGCATGAACAAACCCGCCTGGCATCCCGGTGTGCCCTATGGACAAGATGCTTTTGAGTTTACTATCTCTACAAACTGCATGATCCCAATGGTAGGAAGATAATTAGACCCCATCCAACCTTTAAATATACCCACGCTATACACATTATTTCTGGTTATGTCTGGCTCACACTGGAAGATGAATGCAATTTCAAAATCTTTTTCAAAATATTCTGCAAGCATAATAATCCACAATAAGGAAATGTTTTCAGTTCATTTAAGCCCAACCACCTTCTTCTCTGAATTCTACGCAATTAAGGACTCAGCTTGCAATTTGATATCCCAGCTACCCGAAGGCCCTATTTTTGTTCCAACCGTCGCTCACCTGAAGGCAGTTCTTCCCAATTGGATTCCCTCCAGCTCCACTGGACTTTGGGGCCATTCTAGTGAAGAATTAAAGGAGCTTGTTTTCCATTCCAAAACATACAGGATTTGGAAAGGAAAGATTTCCCCAATGAATCAGCAGTGGTGGTGTCAGATGAATTGATTCTCATCCCAGAAGAAACTTTTGGCTTCATCTCTTCTTCAGTTGCATTTTCACACTGTGCGTTATTCTAACTTTTGGGAATTAGGAGCAATCAAACCTGCCTCCCTAATTTTAAATGCTTAGACAAATGGTTTTTCATTATTCATTCTAGTGGATGTATTTTTTTAAATATTATCGCTTGTAATTATGGAGATAATGATGATGATAATATCTAAAGAAAGCCCTTAGGTGTTTTCAATGCAGACCCAATGTAATTTTCTATTAGCGTGCATTGCAATTTCTCATCTTACAGTCAAGAGTTATTCTTAAAGTACAGAATATATAGGACGTATAGAGCTTAGCACGCTTAGCACGCTTAGCACCCATTGGTGAGAATCGCTGCTAAATAAGAGAATTTCAATAGCTTACAGTAGAATCTCTGTCTAGTACACCTATAGAGCAGTGAGACCTATTGTTTACAAAGACGCTTAGAACTAAGACAATCTGATAGGACAGCAGTCTTTGTAATCTAGATAGTTGAAAAAGAAATTTAAGATATTGTTCTAACTTTCTTCCCAGCTGGGTTCTCTGCAGTTCCATTGGACTTTAAATTTAGCTGGGAATTAAGAGAATAGTTTTCCATTGCAAACACGATATATGTTAGCTTATAGCCTTTTGACAACCCACTCTGTTGAAAAAGCAACCCGTCTTTCCCCACAATATTGCCACTTCTTATGTGCCTATGGGAAGGTGACCAACCGTCCTCCTTTAGGGAGGACAGTCCTCCTTTTGTAAGTTCTGTCCTCCCTCGAAAAGTGTCCTCCTTCATGTCCTCCTTTTTGATATTTGAAGACTAATCTGCAGGGCTTTTTTTTTCTCATAGAATGCTCAGAACGGCGTTCTGGCACCTTTTTTTGATGGGTTTTTTTTCAACCTTTGCATGAGCTGTGCTACTCCCACTATTGGCTTTCGAAAGCCAATAGGAATTGCTGCTGAGCGCGCCAAAACACCCGGCTGGCAAACTTTGCACATGCAAGTTGTCTGTATTATTGTTGCAATGAATAAAATGTTTCTTTTATTTACGATATTTTTTCTTCAATTTATTTGTGTCCTCCTTTTTATTGTAAAAAAGTTGGTCACCTTACCTATGGGAAGACAGTTGACTGCATGGGTTAGCTGAGCACAAAGATGAACCTTCTATATTCTAAACATAGCAGCTCTGGACGTTAATTCATCACATGACTACGTTTTTATTGTACTTGTATGATTATCAACATTATGAATCCTTTAGCAATATTTGGAAAGGCTGCATCTCACCGGGCAGAGTACATATAGTATTGTGCAGGTACATTATGTGGGCTTCAGACTCAAGGTAGCTCCAAGTAATGAATTGTGGTGCCAGGACAGATTTCCTACCCTATGCCTTGATGAACAACTAAAGAGTTTGTTTAATACTGAATTCACATTCCTTTGTGTATATCAGATCATATGATTAAAGGCTAAATTTTAAATCAACTTTCAGCAGCTTAAACTAGAGGAGAAAATCTATCTGACAAGTCATAGCAATTCTAATACACATAAGAAATAAAGACATTAAAAACAACAGTAGTTAAAATAGTGAAACCACAAGGATATGGAGGGGGAGCTCACCCTTGCATCTAATGTACCCCTGGTGATATTCCCAGGCAAGAAATGACAACAAAAGTGAAGAAGCACAGCTCTTTAGGGTACTGAGGGGCTAGAAATCAAGGAGAATATGATGCACAGAAGTGTATTCCTAAGATTACTGGAAGCCCTGCCTATCTGTGAATATCTGAGGACTAAGCTAGCCAACTTAATTGGCAGAAGAACTGTGTTAAATAGATCTGTATCTCTACTGGATTGTGTCAAAGCCATTCCATTATCACTTCATCATTATATGAGCAATTCACATACACATGTTTTAACAATCAGAAAAATAGTTAACCTTCAAACAAGCACCTCATATTCTTCAGATGCCAAATTATTGTGTTCTTGGATTCTAATTTATAAATCATAATAATTGATGTTCTGTTTCCATACATGGACATTTATGGAAGATACAACCACACCATTAAAGTTCAAAAGTCAGTAGTAAGGCATTTTATATCAGTGAGTATATTGTCACATAGTATAATATGCAGTGTAGGCATGGACACCAACCATACCGCCAATTATCTGTTTGGAATTCATCCTGTAAAGAATTAGAAATTATGTTGGTCATTTGTCAATTATTTTGTATGCAGCTAACCGATGTGAAAAAATACCCATGGACAGAAATGCACATAGTTGGACACTGCATGTGGCACTGGGAGTATTTCTTTGGCTTTGGTGAGGTATCAGTTCAGTTTTTTGGTTGAGCATAACAAGTCCTTTGTATAGACATCATGGACAAAGAAAACAATTGACTGAATAACAGATGAGACATTCCCTTACAGCTGCAAATTTATATACAATTCTTTATGATTACTGGGAGAATGTTTCTTCTGTAATTAAACATGTAATAGAAGATTTAAACTGCTTTACTATAATTTGTAAACAATTAAACTGGGATATAATATTGAGCTCACTGTTATCTCATGTGTGTCTTTACATACTGCTGCACATAATTTACACTGTGATGGTTAGGTGCCTATCTGATACTAAGATGGAGACAAAAGAACTGTCTAAGCAACCTAGAAGATTTGTTAAAAATGGAAAATTAGCTTACTGCACTTATGTATTCAAATCTGAGCCCTGGTTAAATTCAAGAAGACCCATTTCTTATGAAACATAGCAGATAATTGATTTCATTCTTCCTGCTTCTAATTTGTACTTGGCTTTGACTAATAGAGGTTGGGGTTCTAGTAAACCAATACCCAGTGAATTCCAGGAGCCTAAACTCTGCTCTTCCTGCTAAAATAGCCCCACTCAAGATCTTTCATTGCCTAAAACTGGATATTTTACTGTTTCTGGCCACATGGCTGTAATAAACTGATTTAATCTTTCACTGAAGGAAGCAGAGTTGAATGTATTCCTGTTCCTATCTGGAACCTAAATAAGCTTGCTACCTTCTGCTAACACTACAAAATATTGATAACCTCTTTGGGTGGCAAGTCCTGCTTTCATCTACTGCCATCCTTTATTAATTATGGTACCACCTGTTTTGTTTCCCTGCTGTGTGCCATACTGGTTAGTTGCCAGTGATCAGTTTTACCTCCCAAATACTTCAACCCACATCTAATAAACTGGTTCCATGGCAAAACAAGTCCTTCCATTTACCAGGCAACAGGAAGCATTGATTCAACATAACACTGCAAACAGAAACTTTCTCAGTGCAGGAGGATATCTCTTCAGCAGGGCTCTAGAAAGAAGTAACACTGCAAGTGATCTGCATTGGCATTACTGATATAATACTGTAGTTTAAAACTTGATAAGAGTGATGGAGAGAGAACCCTGCTAAAATCGTAGATTCCAATTATGAAATGAGAGGAGTTGAGACAGCCCTCAGATTGATCACAACAAAGGAACATCTTGCCATTTGATCAGGGGAACATCAAGGCATGGTATTTTTTTTTTTTTTACCATGAACAAGCTAATGCAGATAGGGAGCGCTGTATCTTCTAGTTTCAAGCCCAGATCCTTAGCAGCTCCACTTGGAGGGCTTAATCACCAGGGCTGGACTGGAAAAGTCCTACGTCTCAGAAAACCCAAAGCAATTAACGTAGACAGGGCTGGGCCAGCCTCAGTAGGCATCTTCCTAGGCTCATATCAACTATCACCAGAGAAATAGCGATTCTATCTCTGATATCATACTTTTCAGCGTCACCAGCAGCCATATTCTTGATCAAATAGTGAGCTATTAGCCATGCATAGGCAAGTCCAAACTTGTCCCAAAGAAACTTAGTGCACAGCAACAGAAATGTGCAAACATATTTCTATTTGTAGACCTGTGATAAAAGAGACCTGCCGAAACAGGATTCAAGTGCACTCCTTGGAACAGGCAAGAGCTACCAGAGAAGCAAAGATGAAGATTGCTAAGGCACTGGTGATTGTGACATTAAATGACATCTTTTCTTCACAGACACTGACTAGCAAATCATGTCATTAACCCAAAGTATGCAGAATTAAGCACCCCCCCCCATTTTTTTAAAAGAGTCTCGGTGATGAAATTAGAG